GGGGGGGTAAACCACCTACTTATACGATACATAGACACACATCACATAAGTTAAAAGTAAGAAGCTTTTTTCTCTCATTAGTACTACAAACACATAATGAAATGTTTATTGATTAAGTAACACTCCATCTCTGCATATTATGTAACCAAAAACTGTATATCTCTACACATAAGTACATTCTTTATTTTAACTTCAAGCCTGCATCCTTGGTACACTAAAGCATCAATTTGAGGTTCTCATTGTTAACTTGAAACTTGTGACTCAAAAGTAAAATGTCTCTGAAAAATGTAAGACATCTCTCCCATTGCATTTCTTGAAGTGTAAGCTCCTTTAGCCTTTGAGAAGTGATGGGTGTTTTACCAGAGACAAAATGGCTTGACACAGGATCCATACAGTCCTTCCAGAATGCTACTTAAGTCATATATAGCATGTTGAACTAATCCAGTGTCTCCTGACACTCGTCAATTTCTATCAAAGGAAAAACGTTAATAAGCCCCAATGCTAAATGAATTGCACTTTTATTTCCATTCAGTTTCAATGTAAGTTTTGTGATCAGTAAACTTTCTTTTATATATATTTCCTGTTCTCAATTGCCTTGAAAATGATATGGATCTTACGTTTCAATGTTCTTGTATGTGAACTATTGATCACCTGATGGTGGATTCATTATAATCGAAAGAACATTTAGGACTGGAGATTTATATTCATATACCACATTAGAAGTTGTCAGGGTAGGTATTCAATTCTTAAACCTGAAGAAATACTGTAATCTGCATATAGACTTAAAAACAGATCCCAATTCTACTTAAAATTGAAATCTAAGATCCAAATCATTTTCAAGCATTAAAAATATGTATTGAATGAATATCATGAACCTATAAGTAGAAAACAATTTAAAATCCTTGCAAAGGCACACTGAGAACAGGAACTGTGTATAAAGGAAAGTATATTTATCAATAAACATAAACTGAGATTGAATGAGTGAAAAAGTTCAATTTATTTATTGTTAACTCTCTGAGTGTTAGCACTGTGTTAACCTATTTAAAGTGTCATCACATTCACCTGCTTAAGATCCATGTAGAATCTAGAAGTTTCCACCTTCTCCTCCACAATAATTACGTGAAACAACCTATGCACTCTAGTGTATGTATTATCCCATCCTTCTCCCCCCACAATAATTACGTAGAAACGACATATGCACTCTAGTGTATGTATTATCCCATCCTTCTCCCCCACAATAATTACATGAAACGACATATGCACTCTAGTGTATGTATTATCCCACCCTTCTCCCCCACAATAATTACGTGAAATGACCTATGCACTCTAGTGTATGTATTATCCCATCCTTCTCCCCCACAATAATTACATGAAACGACCTATGCAGTCTAGTGTATGTATTATCCCATCCTTCTCCCCCACAATAATTATGTGAAACGACCTATGCACTCTAGTGTATGTATTATCCCATCCTACAACATACACTCAACATCCTTGGTACTTGGTGTTGTTTTATTGGGCATATGTTACCTGTGTTTATGTGATGGTATGCAACTGTTATCTAACCCAGTTAGACATCCAGCCTTCCAAACACATCAACAAACTTCATGAGCAAGTCACTGAGTTACTTTCTCTGTGCTAAGTTCAGATCTATAGCACAGTCCTCAACTAGCAACCTCAGATTGTGCACTTACCTTTGGACATGATGTATTGCAGCAATGCTAGTTACACAACTGGTTTGCATCACTATTTTTACCATGCCAATTACCATTCCAGTTGGATGATTTTATCACAGAAATGCATTTCATATCCTGCACAAGAAAAACTGACAACTTCCCTAAGATACCCAGTTCTGTTCAATTATCATCAGTACTATGACAAAATTAAAGAAGTGATTCTCCATCTGAATCTTAATTATCGCTGTTTGACAGAATGGAGCTTGCATTAACTGGCTATAAAAATAACTGCATTTCTGCTTGCTGCTGTAACACCTACAAACACAACTTCACATCTTAATATCATTATTAGCACATACTATGTGATGCCAACTCTATGATTGACCAAAGCAGTTACCATATTTTATGATACAATTTAACTACTACACCCACCTGACCTGGTAGCCAGGTCTAACTCAAGCTTTACTAGTTTAAGCTAGCTTGAATATAGCTGCTGTCACAAACATTATCATCTATCTCTCTCATTTACTACAATGCCAGCCATAATGTAACTTGTATCCAGTAATTCTATTTATAACAGGATATGGAAAATTCTACATTCAAAACTAGGTAACATACACTTAAAAAGTAGTCTGATTCATCATGCTTTAGACGTTTTTGTGATGCCAAATCCTGTTCATAGGTGATACAGCCATGACAACCACATGTGGTTATGCACTATTAACCCCACATTGGTTGCATCATGACTCCTCACAGCTTGTATGGCAATAGACCTAGTGGTCAATGCTTTAGCTGAGCCTTGGACCAATGATGGCTCTTAGAGGTTGCTTCAGATATGAATCAGCCAATGCTACCAACTTCTGCTCCAGCATCTGGTTCAGTGGGAATATCTGAAGCAGCTTCTATCAAAGACGATGTATAATCCTAAGAGCCATGTCATGTCTTGTACACTTAACATAAAAGCCTTTCAATAATTTTTTTATTATAACATTTTTCAATGTGAAACAAGTTACCAGTATTTACTGCTATGATCTTGGGACACTGTCAGTGTCAAATATTACCCTTCCTCTTCAAATTCTTGAAGACACACCTATACTAACAACTTCATTTTCCTTGGGTGAATTCAGCAGCTGTACTCCATGATCATAGAAATATCCAAATATGGATATCTTTATGCAAATATCTGAGAAGAAAGAAATTATCACATCTTGTTTACATGAATGCAACTAAATAAAGATTTTTTTTTTTTTTTTTTAATATGTTCTGTCATTGGGTGGGTTATTTTGGATTATTTGGTAAAAATAATGCCAAATCCAGTCCAGGTAATGATAAAAATTAATTAAGCTATGTTTTCTTGTAAGCCTAATTTCAACCAAAACAGTTCAAATAAATTGTAACAGAACATCTGAAAATTAATGTATGCCTAACAAACACAAAAATAAGTTACATGCAGAATTTCATTCATAGGCACACTGATGCTCACTATCTAATTTTAACTGAATCACAGGCTCAGCACGGCCAGGTGGTCGGGGAGCTCGACTCACAATTTGCGGTCGCGGGTTCGAATCCCCGTCCCACCAAACATGCTTGCCCTTTCAGCCGTGAGGGCATTATAATGTGATGGTCAATCCCAC